TTGGAGAAAACTTGATTTTAAATTTGGAGCTTCCCATTTTTTATAGAAAATTCCATTTTTCACAATCAAAGAATCCCAATACGACCAATATATTAGAGTTGAAATATCTTCTCCGACTATTTCTGAGCGTGGCGGACGAATTGCCGTCTCCTTGGCACGAAGAATAAATGAAATGCTAGGATCCTGTCGTTGCATTTCACGCCAATTTTCCAAATTTTCACCTTCGAACACGATACGAGAAATTATTTGTTCCTTCTCTTCCGAATTTTTTCTCTCCACTTTTGCACAATATTGACAATTGTTTGATTCACAAAGTCTTCTAGACAATCCGTCAGCATTATTGTGAGAAATCCCTTTACGATAGATAATCTCAAACTCGTATTGCTGTAATCTTTCCATCCATCGAGCTAATTGACCTTCCAAATCTTTGAAAGATAAAAGCCATCGTAACGAAACATGATCTGTTCGGATTAAAAATTTTTGTCCCAAAAGATAATGACGAAAAAACTTTATAGCATCTACTATCGCTAAAAATTCCCGACGAGTAACACAATAGTTTCGTTCGGCTTTATTAAGCACACGACTAAAATAAGCAATTACTTTCTTTTCTCCATCTTGCTTCTGAGACAACACTGCACCGATTCCTATATTTGACGCGTCAGTATCTAATAAAAAATCTCCCTTTTCTCTCGGAAAAGAAAGAATTGGAGAAGAACATAATAAAAACTTTAACTTTTCAAAAGCTTTCTGACATTCATCTCCCCACACGTATTTAGTTTGATCCTCTGTCAACATGTAAAGGGGCTTAGCTAAAGAAGAAAATCCTCGAACAAATTTACGATAATAAGAACAAAATCCTAGAAAACTTCGTAATTGTTTTTTTGTGTGAGGTATTGGCCAATCTTTGACAACGGAAATCTTATCGGGATCCGTAACAACACCCTCCGCAGAAATCACATAACCCAAATATTTTACGCTTTTACTAAATAACACACATTTCTTCGGGTTTATTTTTAAATTCGCTTCTCTTAAGGGGATCCTGCAGTGACTGGCGAACTTCCTCGATGTCGATAATGTCAACCTTTCTAATTTTGTTTTCCCTATATCTGTCTTTGTCTAACAAATTGACATCTGTCCTTTTTTCGATTGCTCGCCATCTCTCGCAAGATCCGGCAACTACTGTTGCTGCTCTTCTTGTCATTTGCATCTGTATTTGCATTACTAAAATAATTTTTCGATGGATCTTTTTTTGTACGCATTGAATCTTACTTCTACTTGCACGATATTATTCCTACATGTTTTCCCAAGGGCAGATGATAAAAATTATGTATGTATAAACTGCAGAATTTTTGTTTTAAGCAAATATTGTCGTCAGGTGACAGCTGCGTATGTGCCCAAATAAGTAATATTTTTAATTTTTTGGTGTTTTTGATATAAAATCGCGTTTTCTACCCTAGATTTTTGTGCGTACTTTAATTATAGACCAAAAACTTGCAATTCTGTAAAGCCAATTAAAAGATCCATCGAAAAACGATAATGTCGGTAAATCATACGGCTGCAGGATCCCCTTAATCGTAAAAATACTGTTCTAAGATTGTTTATCATTTCAATAAAACTTTTCCCAAAAATTATCACATCATCCAAATATACAAAGCAAATCTTTGATAATAAATTTTGTAAAACCTTTTCCATAAGGCGTTCAAATGTTGCAGGGGCGTTACACAAACCAAAGCAGGGCATAGTTGTAAATTGCCAAAGTCCTTTACCGATTGAAAAAGCCGTTTTCTCTTTGTCTTCGGGACGGATCTTAATTTGCCAATACCCACTTTTAAGATCAAGTGTGGAAAACCAAGAATTACCTGCTAGCTGGTCAAGAATATCATCAATTCGGGGAAGGGGATAAGAATCCTTAATAGTCACCTCGTTTAATTTTCTATAATCAACACAGAACCTTATAGAACCATCCTTCTTTTTAACCATGACAGCAGGAGAAACCCATGGACTATGTGACTCCTCAATTACTCCACGTGAACTCATATCTCAAAATCTTATCGACTTCTTCCCTCATTTGAATCGGAATCCTACGAGGAACCTGTTTTATAGGAGGAAAATCTCGAACATTCACAATATGTTCTACAACATTACAATTTCCTGCAATAATGTTTTCAGAAAATAAATCATCAAATTCATCAAGAAAATCAACAAAACTTTCTTTTTCTACTTCAGTTAAATATTGAGAATTCATTTCATAGAGTTCTTTCAAGGGGATCGGAACTTTTTTAAAAGAATCTTCAATTCTAGCTATTTCTTTTTCAAATATTGGACTTCTAAAAGCCGATTCAAAGACTTTCTCTAAATTAACCATTTTTAGAAAATCTATTTCCAAAAGACATTCATCATTTATGTCTGCAATAAACATTGGAACTTCTAACGAGTATTTCCCTAGTTCAACTTTAATTTCTGCCCAAAATTCTACACAAACTTTTTCTCCGGTGGGATATCTTAAATTAACAGAATTCTTACAAATCTTTCTTTTCTCTTTATCAACAAATTTGCTATTTATTATGGAAACATCGGAGCCCGTGTCGACCTTGAAAGAACACACTTTATTATCAACTTTTCCCCTGTAAATGAAATAATCGTTATTCTTAATCCTATTAACATTTAAAACAATTTCCGAGGAATTTTTCACGGAAGCCAAACTCTCCCCGACAAGCTCGGCTAAACCAAGTTTCCCTTTTCCGTAGGACATTCGTACCGGAAATGTCCGATTTTCCCACATGTCCAACATTCCCTTCGGCCGGCGCTAAATTTGCTGCCTGGCCAATTTCCTTTTCCGTTATTTTCTTTCTTATCTTTTTCATCCCGTTCGCCTTCTAATTTATTACCCTGCGCGCTCTTTCCTCCTATATTCGAAAAATTTTTATTAAAATTAGCATTTCCTCTCTTTTTCTCGTAACCCTCCTTTTGAATTATTTTTATTGCTTTTGCCCTTTCAATTGCCAAACTCAAAGAGGTTATATTTTCCAATTGTAAAGTTCGTTTGACAAAACTATCATATATCGCTGAAATGAATTGCGCGCAGGCGATTTTATCTCGGATTTCGTGTGGACACTCGGGGTACGCAAAGCGAACCAATCTATCAAGTTCTGAACCTAATGTTGCCAAATCTTCCCCAAACTTTTGTTTCCGATTTGTAAATTGTACGTAATAATTTTGTGATAAGTGTCCTTCTCCAAAACGTAATTCAAGCTTTGATTTTAATGCATTAAATTCTAAATTGGACACGTCTTCTACCGTCTCCAATACCGAACGCGCTTTTCCTCTCAAACTCGAAGCAAGTGCGACAGTCTTTGTCGCATCATCCCAACTATTTGCCCGTGCAATCAAATTAAACTGCGAGAAAAATTCACGAAGAGATACTGTCCCGTCATAAGTATCAGGTTTTAATTTGAATCCTAATATCGCGCGAAAACCATTCTCTCCCACATTTAAGGTTGTATAACCCCTTAGAAGAAAAAATGCCAAATTCTTCAAACTTTGTCAGGTGATGAGTATTATAATAATAAAGCATTGTGCCAAGTTTGAACAAGTTTGCGAGGCCCGTTTAAAAGTTATAACAATTTGAATTTAACATGGGCTCTTATGGGAATTCATCAAGTTTCACTATTTTTTCAACTTCATTTGAGAAATTAATATCGAAGAAAATATGGCATCCTTTTAAAACTTTGCAGAAATATTAATAAACATCTTACAAACAAATTAGAACCAAAAAAATTATGACTTCGAGGATATTTTCTGAAATATTGAATAAAAACCAAACAGAGAACAGTCTCGCTTGGTCTCACTGAACTCGTAAGTACAGAGATCCGGCAACAGCGCACTATGACGTCACATTAGAACCTCTCTTTCCGTCACTCTCCGTAAAGGATAACAAATACTACAGAGGTCCGTTACTTTTTCCAATAAAGCCTCCTGTGTATCGAAAGTGTGCTCTGAGCACGTGTAATATACAGACGCATCGTTTGAGGTTAGTTTTCGCTTGCGCTACGAAAATGCCGAAAGTAAAACGTTACATGTGGAAAGGAAAAGTTGTCACTGAAAAAGTACAATCAACGGTTAGCACAGACAAATACTGGGAAACGTAATTTGAAGACACGAGTCGAAACCACACCAGATGATTGTAACAATTCCATGGCACATGTAACGTTTTACTTTTGGCATTTTCGTAGCGCAAGCGAAAACTAACCTCAAACGTTGCGTCTGTATATTACACGTGCTCAGAGCACACATTTCGCGTTCACGCAGCTGATGTCGAGTGAGATCAATGCTACCAACTTACAAAAAATGCGACGTTGTCGCGATCAAAATACTTTTTTATGAGAGCTATTGTATTTAATTTATTAATAAATGACGTAAATAAATAACGTAATATAATTTCATTAGTATTTTTAAACAGTAATTACTATGTTTTGTTACTTTTTAAAGATTTTCACACTTTCAGATTTTCGTTTGTGTCAGTTGCAAGTCAGGTACAGTCTTTCTAAAAATCATTAAAAGTGAAAGTTTGCATACGAGAAAATATGCATAAAAATGTCTCTATAGCTCTTAAAAACACAGGCAACCGTTATTTTAATAAAATATTAATATAAATATTACTTTCCAGTAAAGAATATCTTCTTAAATATGTTAATTAGCTTTATGTTACGTTTCTTAAACTTTTGGCAGAGATCTTACGGGTCATACAACCTTAAGTGCGCACCCGAATTTCCACACGTTCTATTAATAGAAGGACTTAGCTGTAGATTTTGCGGTCGGGAATGAATCTCCTTTAAGGTTTGAAGTTCCTCGTCGTGACAACGCAGCATCGCCGCGATTTCATCCTCTCGACGTACCCGCTCCTGTCGCATCTCCCGCATTTCAAAAAGGAGAGTCTGAAGAGCTGTGGATTCCGTTACCGCCGGTTCTCCTGCGACTTCCGGTAACAAGCCCGTTTGCTCTCTCGACTCCTCGCTGCCAGTCGTTCGAGACGGAGCTTGTGAACGAGTAATCCTCGGGGAATGCATCATTTTCGATGTTCCGTTCCGCTGCGGTGATATGTTCCTTTGATCCCGGACGAGCCCCCAAAATGTTACGTCCTCCGGACGTTTTCTCACAAATCACTCGCACACTCTCACACTCCCGGAACGCGCCCGAAAAGAATAAAAGCTCTTAAGGTGGTACTGAGTTTTAATATGATAATCCAGTACAAAAGAACAATGCAATATAATATGTAATATCCACAAATGCTCATTAGCTTCGAAAGCGTCTGCACGATGCGATAGCCAGACCAAATCTGTCATGGAGCCCAAAAACAACGACCGGGCGGTTGTCAATAAACAACCCCCTTAACGATGAAGCTCCACGATGACACTCAAGGGAAGATATTCAGGAGATGAAAGACCAGGGACGTAACAATATATTGACCATATGCAAACCACTCAAAGATAAGAACAATTAAGAATCGGAAACCCGATTATACCACTGACCTTCCATGATCCGTCGTTGCCTGGTAATAATCTCGTCAGAAATTTGTCGCTGTCGATCGTAACGAAGCAGCATTAGTTCACGACGTCTGAGTTCGTGCTGCTTGACCAGTCTTTCGGTCTGCAACATCATCTTGTCTGCTTCGAGCTCGTGAACTCGCAGCATCAACGCCAATAATTCGCGCTCCTCATCTGAGTTGATGCGTGAAGGTAGTTGCTAGAGAAAATGTCACGGTGTTCTCGAGTTATAAGCTTTCTCTGAATGTGCTTGATTAAAATTTATTTTCATAAAATGTTATCGTAGTTTCGCTACATATTGATATATTACGATAAAAATCGCTTTTTCAAACCCTTGCTTTTTTTTGCCTTTTAAATTTAGTTTTATATTATTATATGTGATTATGATGATAACTGCATTATATATAATTAAAATGATGATTGCAAATCCTCACATCCTCGAGCATAGCGCTACACTTTCGACAGGCCTCGAGTTCTTTTTCCGCAGCAGCGCGCATTTCGGCATATCTCTCTTGCTCTCTTGTGATTTCCGTCAGTTCAGTCCACGCTTGTTGCACGGCTACGTCATCCTCCAGGTCACCCTCTAAAAGATCTAAACAGTCATTAAGATATTATCAGTTTTTGCTGCAAACAACTCAGTGGGCTGATATACATGTTTACGAAGTTTTAATTTTACCGAAAGTACATTCGTAATTCGCCAACGCCATATAATAAACATTAGACGTTCATTTCTACAATTGGCAAATAATCATCGTGATAATTCGACCATTGGTTTTGGTTCGATTGATCGTCAAGATGTTAATAATCTTTGATACTTATATATGGGACATTCCACGCCAATTCGCGAGGGGTCAAACTTCGACCTTTTTATTTTTGATGGCGGCTCGTTTTTAGCAGGTCTTTACGAGTACTATACCCATATAAGAGCGTTTTTATAATAAACGTAGCGTTTCCGAAATAGAGTCTGCGCAAAATGAGGACTGCAAGATTTTCAATGAATTTTCTCGCCTATTAGACAACGTCTAAGAAAAAAATTCATTGATCATAAAATACGCTATTTCAATCATTTTTTTTTTTTAAGTTACTCAAAATTTTTATAATAATATTGTTAAACAAATAGAGTAAAAAAACACAAAAAAATTTGAATATCTCAAAAACCCCATTTTCTATTTTTTTGAAATTTATAGGCAATATTCTGGGGAATATTAGAAAAATTTTAAGACCGGTCCAAAGTTGCGCAGAAAATTTGGGAATTTTTTATATATTTTTTTGTAAGGCAGACAGAGGTACCACGGCTTCGCACGGACTTGCGCGCGGCCTCGAGCGGACTCGAGCTTCAACACAGTAAGTCAACTTGACTAATTATTCTGCTTTGCGCCGATCCATACTGCGCATCGACCAATTCGACCACTGAGACATGTGGTAATATTTATCGCAATAACACACTAAACAATAATAAGATAGAGACACCGATATTTAAGTGTATAATTAAACCGAAAGTACATTCGTAATTCGCCAACGATATAATAAATATTTAACGTTCATTTCATCGACTACAATTGGCAAATAATCATCGTGACGACTCGATCGATTGGTTTTGATCCGATTGATCGTCAAGACAAATTATTTAAAAATGAGATGCTTATATATATACCTATAAGTATCAAAGATTATTAACATTAACGTCTTGACGATTAATTGGAACAAAACCAATGGTCGAATCGTCACGATGATTATTTGTTAATTGTAGTCAATGAAATGAACGTCTATAATGTTTTAATTTTAGTTTTTTGATTTTTTGATAATTTTTTGGTAAGGTCTTTTCTTTCTAAAATTTTATTTTCTGACTTTATTAAGATTTCCTCAGGTGTTTTTCTTTTAAATCAATTTTTTAAATAAAGACTAAATGTAATAAATATGCCAGAATTATTATCTAATACCAGAAAAACAATTTTTTTCTCTAATTATTTTAATAAATAATTTAATTATTTTTTAAATCGCTTCTTTTAATTAATATGTACTGTGAAAAATACTTGACTGTAATAAACAAGACATTTTCTTGGGAAGTTTGAAAAATAAGCAAAGGTAAACCCTATATTATCTTTATATTTTATTTTTCTACATTAAATAAAGTATTTAACATAGAAAATATAAAATATCTACTTGCAAAAGATGTATAAATATGTGTGTGAACTGACATAAACTAAAAACCTTTTCAAAATTTTTCAAAACTTTTGAGTATTAATCTTTTAATTCTAATAGTGAATCTTTGTCCAAATGATGCTTAATAAGAAAATTTAAATGATGATTTATAACATGGTTTAAATTATAACAATAACTCGATATTCGCTTACCTGCATCATCTATTTCGTCCACTTGGTAATCCGTACCAGGACGAGATGTACTGGAATCTCGTGATTTCCGGTATACACTGTTATTCCTTGATTCCCAATGCGAGATTATGGAATGTTGCTGTTCAGCAGCGATATTCAGACTCAGAAGATGACTGTCCAGTTCCATCAACTTTCGCCTGTCATATCAATTAAATTAAACGATGTATTTAAGGTCTAAGGTCACATTAATCTTCTAATTTTTGGAGAATTAGAAGACCAAGTTTGTTTTCCTTAAATCGACGATTTAAAAAATTTTTTTTGTATTTGTGTTTGTTAATACAAATAGGTGAAATAATGTAATAAATTTTATTATATTTGTTAGACAAAAATAATTAGAACATAATTAAATATGTGGTGTGTGATCAAACGATTTCTCATGTCTTCCTTTATGTTTGTATATCCTAAAGTATTTATCGTTTTTATATTTGAAAATAGTTCTACATTATGTAATGTGTAAGATTTCAAAATTATCATGTTTTTCCAAAAATTTCATATAGTAAACTGTATTTTTGTTTAAAATACTAGCGGTAATCGGAAGTTTAAAATAAATAAAAAAAGGGTTAGGGTTACCCAACCCCCCCCCCTTTCGGGAGAGGGGGTGATACCCTATATTGTAGCGCTTGACAAGAGGAGTTGAATGGTGGTACTCATAACCGACGCACACGAACTAGGACGTGCACGAACTAAACAAACAGGAACCCCCTCTGTCCGGAGAGGGGTTCCACATAGACAAAAACACGAGTGCGAGTCCACGCACTCGTCTAACGGTTAAGGGACATAGACCCTGCACCAAACATAAAGCGAACTCAGATCCCAGGGTCCGCTACAATAGGCCGAGATACTCGGCTAGGGAGAAAGATCGCGCCTCTTTCCTAGACCCCGGGCGAACCCGGGGTCCAGGGGAAGGGCACGAGAACAGAAAGAGGGGAAAAACCCCGCCGCGGGAGACGGAAATCCCCCGGAGGACGGCCGACCACAGATCGCCGCCACAAAGGGCTGGCGAGTCCCACTGCTAAGCAGTGTTGTCGGAGCCCGAAACAGTAGCGAGCGGCAAGCCACGGCCGACCAACCTCAGGAGGACCTCGCGGCCCAACGGCGGGGATCCCCAAACGAATGATGACCTCCGCGGCAGCAACCAGCGAGGCGCGGGAAAGGGCGACGAGCGCCGACCGCCCCCGAGCCACCAGCCCCCCAGGGATCCGGGAGCATCGCACCAGGCGATGCGCCGGACCCCAGGAGGAGGAAAGCCCGCAAGCCGGCCGGCGCCCGACGCCCACCCACATCACACCAGGGGCAAATCCGCGGAGGTAAAAACCAAGGGCCAAGCATCGAGCCTAGCCCCGGAGTATACGTCTCTCTACCCCCCCCCCACGGCCCCCTCGCAGAACAGTAAGAGAAGGGGAAGGGGAGGAGGAGATGAATCTTCGCAAAGTCCCAACGCAGGGACAAAACGCAAACGCAAAATATATCACAATATAGCGCAACGCAGTAAGGCAACGCAAGCCACGCAAGTCATCCAATTAGGGAACGCGTCTCGCAGCATTCCCATCCAACAGCTCCTGCTGACGTCTTCTTTCATCCTTTTCTTTCCTCCGAAGGACGCGCTCCGCAAGAAAAAAGCATTCCATGCTTTACAGCTAGCGCACATCGCCGCAACCAGCGTAGCCAAGGAGAGATCCTGACCTACCACGGCCGTTAGTTCGCCGCGTTCGAGGCTCCAGTAATTACACACTGCAAGGGTGTGCTCCGCTGTATCGATTTCCGAGTCGCAGTAACGACAAACAGGAGTCTCTTCCCTCTGGATCTGATGTAAGAAAGACCCAAAACAGCCGTGGCCAGTCAGGAACTAAGTCATCCGGAAAGTCAAAAAGCCAGTTCGTCTGTCAATCTACGCTTCAAAACTGGGTGAGATTACTTCCCTCGTTCGTTTTCCAGGCAGGTATTTTTGCCGAATGTATGCAGATCATTGTCCTCTAAGAGCCGACCATTCCTCATCGCGGAGTTCAGAAGGGGCGTCAGCGTAATATGTCCCAGCGTCCTTCAGAGCTTTAAGTCGCAGATATACGCGTCGAAGATAATCCGTGTAAATATGAATGGGCGGAACCCTAGCCAGCAATGTGGCGGCTTCATAGGAGACCGTGCGATAGGCCATCACTGTGCGTAGCGCAGTGAGGCGGATCGCACGGCACAGGAGACGCCGCTGAGTACCCGATGCTGACAATTCCCCACTCCAAATCGGGGCCGCGTAAAGAACAATCGAAGTAATTACGGAGTAATAGAGTCTTCTCTTTGCCTCGATAGGACCTTTCAAATCAGGCAGGATGCCGCAGAGCGCACGGCCAACCTTCGTGACCTTAGAGGCCACATACGAAAAGTGGTTACAAAAGTTTAGCCGCGTATCGAGATAGACACCGAGATACTTCATGCTGTTGGAGAGGTTTATCCTGACGCCTTCCACCTCAATATAGGCATCCCGGGGGCGACGGCCAAAGAAAATGGCCTCGGACTTAGGCCAGAAGACCCTCAATCCTAGCAGACGGATGTTAACAAGAGTACTAGGCAATCCAGAACATCGGCGCACACCTCGTCATAGCTGTCGCCAACTACCACGAGCAAGGTTTCGTCCGCATAGCAGACTAAATGACAGTTCTCGTACAGAATTGTTCCAAGTACAGCGTCAAAGGCTAAATTCCAGAGGAGAGAGCCCAACACCGAGCCCTGTGGGACCCCTCTATTGACCCTTCTCTTGCGGCGCGTCCCATCCGGGGTGACATATCTCACCCATCTGCCCGTAAGATAATCGTCGATGATGCGACGAAGATATCGGCGGAAGCCCTTAACCCGGAGAGCTCTTCTTATAGCGAGGTGCTTGACCGAATTAAAGGCATTTTCGATGTCCAGTGAAAATGCCATTGTAACTTTACCCTGCGCACGTGCCTCAGTGATGATGGATTTCACTAAGTGAAGGGCATCGGTGGTAGACCTCATCCGGCGAAAACCAAATTGATTTTCTGATAAATCAGCATCAGGGTTCTGTTCCATATTGTAAAGTTATTAATTTTGATGCACCGATTTTACCGGCACTGACCGC